CAGAGCAGGATAGAATAGGATGTGTAGCGGGTATATTATGTGTAATATGGGTATGTTATATGTGTGGATATATACTTGGGTCATGACATAAATATATTTCTTATTGTGGTTTGTGTTTAAAAAAACGTTTGAAAATGCTGAGCTCGAGCACCCTTTACTGTGCGGTTCCCTGCCCACCCCTGAAATATTCGCTGTACTACTCTAGCCCCCCTTATCTGTGGTTTCAGTCAACTGTCATCCAGAAATGGATGATCCTCTTTCTGACACATCGTCAGAAGGTCAAGAGCAGCCTAGCGCTAGGTCACAATGCCTCAGTCCCTCCCCTCACTTCACCTCATCACGTGGGCATTTTATCATCTCACGTCATCGCAAGGAGGGTGAGTGCTGTACGGTAAGATATTTTGAGAGAGAGAGAGAGACAGAGAGAGACACACATGCCACATTCATATAACTTTTATTCTAGCATATTGTTATAATTGTTCTATTTCATTATTCATTATTGTTGTTAATCTCTTATTATGTCTAATTTATAAATTAAACTTTATCATAAGAATGTGCGTATCAAAACCCCCACAGTACGTATAAGGTTTGGTACTATATGCAGTTTCAGGTATCCGTGGGGGTCTTAGAATATATCCCCTGTGGATAAGGGGGGGGCTATTGTATTTTCTTCTCTAATGAACTGATATAGGTGTACATTTGTGTACTTTAAACATATTTGCATAGTATATCGGTGCTAAATACGGTACACCTGTAGATCTGAAGCTTGGACCAGAAATCTGCTCTAGCTCATGATTTGGGGGGTTGTGGCAGGTAGATGGTAGGTTGTCAAAGTGGAAGCATTAGCAGGTGACAGAATCACCTGGAAAGGATGTGTAAATGAGCAAAGAAAGAGAAGAGGGTAGAATCTGGGAAGCCGTTTACCTTTAAGGCGGGGATATTGGAAAAGGAGCTCCCAAGAGCCACTGCAATGGGACAAAGAGGTGGGAGGGAAACCTGGAGTGTGTTGGCATGGGAGCCAAGAGAGGAGAGAGTTTGAAGAGCAAGGAGAGGCTCAAGATTGTCCAACAAGGCAGGAGGTCAAGCTAGGTAAGAGCTGGAAAGCACGCACTGAATTGAGCAATGTGGTGACGTTGGTGACGTTGGTTGGTGCCTTTAGTTCAGTGGTAGCAGTCGGACTGTGGGGGACTGAATGGTGAGCATGGAAGGCAGACACACTGGGGAATGGGCAGCACTTTCGAAATGTTTGGCCAATGAAATGGGGAGTTGGCTAGACAGGGGATAATGGGTTTGCACCGGAAACAAATTTGACCCTAGTGTTACAGAAAGACAAAATATTCACAAGCTAGGCTTACGGGAAGGTGTAGGGACATTTCACCTCTGTTAGAGACGAGGTGAAACTATGGATTCCCACCCCCTACTCTCAACAGTTTTCATGCTCTGAACACTCGGGTAAGAATTTCTGGTAATTGCTGAGACCAAATTTTAGAATTATGATGAAATCTATTGTTGCTCTGGTTATTTATACAAGTAATGGTTAAGGTTATTTTGGAATTGTGATTCCAAAATAATTGTATGTGCACGATACAATTAAAAACCCCTAGTTAGGAGGAGGGAAAAAAAAAAAGTATGAAACAGTAGCCAAAAGAAAAATTACATTGATAGACCATTAACAACATTACTGCTGTCGCTGCACAAAGAATAATGAAATAATGGACTGTATTTGGAAAACAGAAGATACCGTGGGTAACTGATAGAATCCAAAAGGACAGATTAAATTTCCTCTACTTTTATGATGAAAACCAGACTTGAAATTACTTTTGACTTGTCATTTTGCTTTACCAAATGTTTGAGAGAATTAGGATGTAGGCACCTTATCACTGACATTTCTTAGTCAAGATAAGAATTCTATGCTCAGATTTGTGGGCCTTGGGGCTGTAATTATCACAACCTCAAAGTAGATTACCAGGTGTTGTATAATTATTGTGATATCTAGTCTTTAAGGAGTAAGGAAATTTGCATCTGAGTATAAATATTTGTATTTGATCCTTGTTTCCCTGGGGGAGGGAAGAAAGCTGGGACCCCTGATTAAGTCACCTTATTTAACAGATTTGGGCATAAAGATCATTTTCAGAGATGAAGGAACCATCTATAATACCTGAAAGAAACTTTCCCCAAATCAGAAAGCAAGTAAAAAAGGTCCAACTTAAGAAAATGCAAAGCCATGAAGAAAGGATATTGACGAATCTTCCTTAGGCTGCTTTCATAGCAGTGAGTAATTGCCTTAAGGTAGAAGCTTGTGTTCTAGAAAATTGTGTTCTAGAAAATTCTCTTGTGTTCTAGAAAATTCTCAGACCATTCAATTCACGAAAAACCACTCATTGTTTTTGATTAACCAGCATTTGGAAAAACTTGTCTAAATGGGTTAGAAGTGAAAGTGTTTGCCTTGAACAAAAATGTATAGTGTTGAGGATGAGAAGTATTGTTAGTTTTGCTGAATTTAAACAGTCATCTATGCGAAGGGTCTCAGGACTGAGAATAATCCCCTTATTCCCAAATATTTTGAAACATGGAATGAAGTGTGTGTGTGTGTGTGTGCGTGCGTGTGCATGTGTGCGCGTGTGCGTGTGGTGGTGGTGAGCTCACTTCAAGTGTAAATCATGTCCTGGGTGGAGCAAGTGGATTTATAGGAAGAGGAACTGTCATGTTAGTTCAACTAATTGCAAGTCAAGGTGACTCATTTGGGCATCCGAAGGTCAATGTATGCATGGAAAAAGACTGACTCCTCCGTGGCTATTTTTCTATAAGTTAAGATGCCTAAAACCCTGAATTTCTTCTTAAATGTCTCTTAGTACCTGTCATTTTTGAAGTTGTAAGTGAATACTGAGTTTTAAGCACAAAGGAAAAAGTCTCTTACACAGTGAAAAAAAAATGGCACAAGAACTTCTCAGAAAGAACTTAGTGCATTTTAATAACTTCTTTGAAGTTGCTCTTGAATGACTGAATTCATTGTCCAAAGACTCAAAGGAGTTGGAATTACTTGGAATTTCCCAGTCTTCGCCATACTTCTGGATCACAGGCACAATTTTCAAAATACTGGTAGAGCCAGGTCCTAGTGCCAGAGCGAGGGAGAGATTTTGTATAGTTTCTCCTTCTATGATTACTATAATTTTAGCTGTTTTTGTTTTGATTGAAATTTTCCTGGTTGGTTCGGTCGGTTAAAGCCGGTGCTAGCTAACCTGGACAAGTGCCAGATGTCTGGAACAAGACAAGCTTACTCTGTGTGGGGAGACTGTCCTTAACCACCTCGCCACTGCCTTCCATCATCTACCTTTTGGCCAACTAGGTGCCCACCCTCTTGGCTACGTGTTCAGGGTGTAGAACAACCTCCACGCCCCAAGCAGGTGGGGGTGGGGGTGACATGGAGAGTAGTCACCAATCTCTAGGAGCCAATCATAGTAGTTCTAGCTCCTCTGTCTGTGAAAAGTTGGGTGGGGAACTCACCTTGAGGACAGCTGGCGTCTTCCATGGGGCAGATGTGTTTCAGCCTTGCCCCCTCTAACTGTGAAAGGACTCCAGCCCCATCCCATTTCACATAATCTCCCACTAGATCCTTTCCTTTCACTCCTCAGGGCCTGCCCTCTCCTGATGATGACTTTCAGGAATGGAACTCTTTGGGAAAATCCCACCTCAGGCTCTTGGCGAAAACCTTAAACGGAAAGAACAAAGCAGATGATAAATCTGGGTAGAGCAGACCCGAATGTGGGTTGACTGCAGAGCCAGAAGTCCAGGAGAAAGTTGCTGGTTACTTCCTTTACTTCCTGTGCCTTTATAGCTGTGGGTCTAGAATCCCACGCAGAATCTTCTCCATCATAGAAAATATTCAGAAGAAATTAACCTGATGACCTATTTTACTTCTGAGAAACTTTTTTTTTTTTTTATTTATTTATTTATTTTTCAACGTTTTTTATTTATTTTTGGGACAGAGAGAAACAGAGCATGAAC